CAGGCTCGCTGGAACTTTGTGTACTCCTTACCCCTAGAGAGCGAGTCCAGAAGTGGGCAGGAGATACTTCCTCTGGGCCGGGTGTCATCAGCCACCAGCCTCAGTGTCGTGCACAGACAGCATGACTACAGAAAGCAGGGCAGTCGCCCAAGGAATGAGCACAGCCCTGGCCATGCCACGGTACTTTCCTGATGGCTCTCTGTGGAGCTAGACCAAGGATCATTCACCCAGACTTCGCTGGGCACCACGCTCACATGCTTCAGATCCCCACACAGCCTCTTATGCAGGGCCAAGTGAGTACCCACTTGTCTGTACAACTCCCCTGGCAGTCAGACACGCACTTGGCTGTGTCTTATCACAACTTTCCCTTTGAAGGACAACCAGCATGTCCCTTCTTTTGAGTATATGTTGTACTTATCATTGGGTTCCTGGGAATTACTAAGTCTCCTTTTCCATTTAGATTGTTAAGCAAGAAAGGAGTCCTTTTCGATATGTTTGCCAACCTCTCTCTGACACTGGGATTGATTATTGAATAAGCCCAAGGTTCTACCCATTTCAACCTCAGTTGTCCTCTCCAGCCTTGACTACTAAACACTCCTGCCTCCCCAAATGTCCTCATCATCCCTGACATTACCCCTATCTCTCTAGCTTTGCCTCTCCTGTTCAAATTGTCTCTCTCCTGTGACGCATGGTCCAGATGCTGCCCCCTGCTAAAATTTAGAGCCTCTGCCCTCTGTGTTCTCATTGAATTGAGTCAGAGCTGCCATCACACCTGGCTTTGATTAGGAAGTATTCGCTTAATTATACTAAGTGAGATAAGACAGGCACAGAGGGAAAATGTTGTATGAGTCCACTTACATGAATTATCTGGAATAGGCAAATACATAGAGGCAGAAAGTAGACCAGGGGGTGCTGGGGGGGGGGGTGGGGAGGCTTGGGGAGTTATTGTTTAACAGGGATACAGTTTATGCCGGGAATGATGAAAGCTTGGGGTATAGATACTGGTGATGGTTACACAACGTTGTGAATGTGGTATTTCATGCCACTGAATTGTACACTTAAAAAAGGTTAAAATGGAAAACATTGTGTACATTTTTCCATAATACAAAAAGGTAACTAAAAAAAACAGAAAAGTTACATGTTTAATAGTTTTTTATAGATTGTAAGTTTGTGGGAATGGGGAGAAAACATGACTTTTTCGTCTTCACCCAGCCCGGTGCTTTGCATGAGATAATCACTCATTATTGCTTCAAGTCAGGAACGGAAATCAATGAAAAGAAGCACAGAATTCAGGCAAGATTTTCCCATACGTCTTAGCAATTTTTAAAATTTTATTTTATTGTTGGAGTGCCTGGGTGGCTCAGTCAGGTAAGCGTCCAACTTTGGCTCAGGTCATGATCTCACGGTTCATGAGTCCATGCCCCACTTTGGGCTCTGTGCTGACAGCTCAGAGCCTGGATCCTGCTTTGGATTCTGTGTCTCCCTCTCTCTCTGTCCCTCCCCTGCTCGTTCTCTGTCTCCCTCTCTCCCTGTCTCTCTATATATCAAAAATAAGTAAACATTGAAGAAAAAAGAAACAAATGTTACCGTCAAGTTGATTTTATCAGAAAGAACCTTCTGTAGTTGGAATTGTTTAATGGCATTGTCTCAAAAAGAAAACAAAAAACATGAAATTAAAAATTGTCCCAAACTGCTTTCTATTTTCTTAGTGTTTGCATTTATAGCATCAGTAGCATTTTAGCAAACTCGATTTGAATAGTAAGAACTTTCATTTATACAACACTTACCAGCTTTTCTGAGAGCTTTTTCAGCCCTTAGACCATTTGAAGTCACAGAAAGAGTCAACGTCATGTATAGCATTACTGAACAAATGTTTCTCCTCCTTCTCTGGTTCTAGATTCTTTCTTGCATAAGATGAAGTGTGTACATTAAGCCTTATTCTTACATATTTCAGTTCATATAATCCTTTTACTCTGCTGATCTGCAATTATAAATTATACAGTTTCGTGCTGCACATAGTCTTACAAGTTAGAAAAAAGCATAAAGGTCTTGATATGACTCTCATCCAAGATTAGGGTGGAGATATCAAGAGAGAGGTGAAATGTTTACATGAAGGGATAGGCAGGAACTGAGAAAATATCAGGTTACTGGGCTTTTTTGCCATGTTTTTAATTTTGGAAAATTGGTTGTTTTCATATTCTGTCCATAAACAACACCAGAGGGTATTTTCTACAGATGATTTTTGTGGAGAAGAAACTATAAATTTGGAGATATTTTCCTATGGAAAACAATCATGGATAAGTTTCTAAGATGTTGACCATTTGCTTCAAAGTAATACAGAGAGGGGAAGTAGAAGGGAGGGTAGAAATAAAACATGCTTGGCCACCAGCAGATGATTGTTGGAATAAAGTATTGGGTATAGAGGTGGTTTTATTATAGTATTTCCACTGTTTGTACGAATTTGAAGTTTGCCAAAAGAAAAAATTAAGGACAAAAAAGAAATAGATTCTGAAAGGAGGTAGCCGATGGTCTATTATTTCATACACCTGATGAGTTAATTCAGTGAATGGAGGGATTTGAAAATGAGGTACTTTTATTTGGCACAAGGCACTATCAAGATAATATCTTGAGAAGCAGCCTGTGTGGCTCTGTCAGTTGAGCATCCGACTCCTAACTTTGGCTCAGGTCATGATCCCAGGGTCATGGGATCAAGCCCCGTGTTGGGCTCTGTGCTGAGCACGGAACGTACTTGGGATTTTTTTTCTCTCTCTCTCTGCCCCTCCCCTGCTCGTGTGTACGTGCACGCATGCTCTCTCTCTCTCTTGAATAAATAAACATTAAAAAAAACCTGATAATATCTTGAAGGTTTATTACCAATCTATATTTGAAATCTGCATAGCTTAAAGAAGGTACATATTGACATATCGCCCCAAAATGTGTATGCGTATGTATACGCGCGCACACACATAAAACTAAACAAAAGTGAGTTTATGTCGGTTTGAGAATTTCTGATACCTGTTGGCAATGCAAACATACTTTAGTTGTCGCTGATCTAAAGACCCCAGGTAAGTAGTTAGGCCTGCAGGTGAGGAGGCTCCATGGGATTCAGAACTTTCTACCAGTCCCCTTTAATGCAGCGACCATGCATCTTTGCTTCCTGTGTTCAGTGTGTTCACTGGCAAAGTGATGTATACAACAGGGTACGTGGCACCAGGTTTCAAGGCTGGCTGCTTGCCACAGGTCACTTTACAGTACTTGGCCAGACACATGGCTCGTTGATGGTCATGAAGGGTTCTGCCTGGAGCCCTCACTGGTTCCTTTCAGGTAGTAACAGGAAGTAACTCTCCTTCCTGTTTTTACTGGACACACTTCAGGTGTGATTTTTTTTTTTCTCTCCTTTCCCTTAGATGTAGACCTCTCCTCTAGCTCAGATCTAGCAAGGTTAAGGGCAGCAGCACAGGGGAGAAGAGCTAGTTCACTGCCAGTTAAAACCAGTGAAGTACACGAAGAGAGGAAAGGGTGAAATGAGACAATTGCCTCTTTGCTCAGCATTGCTAGGGATCATTATTTCTCTTTTTATGCCTTTGGGCACCTCTCCTTCCCCCACCATTGCCAGACAATTGAGAGGCCTCTAATAGGCTGAAGGCAGAATCTGAGGAGTCATGGTTTCCCTTCCCGTATGATGTGCATTTCAAGAGGCCCTGAGCAGGAGAAATTAATGGCACACCTGGAAGGTAGAGTTCGTGCCTTGTTCGGCTTTGCGTCCCGGCACCCAACATGGTGCCTGGAACAAAGGAAATGACGATAAATGTTGAAATACAAACGTTTACTGGCAGAACTTCCATCCCTGTGAGACCGGCTTAGACTCATATTTAGCTATGGTCCTCCTTCAGATCGTACAGAACTTTGGGGGTCCTTCAGATCTTACAGGTAGGGATTGGGGCCCTACCCTTAAATGTCAAGCATTCCAGAGTGTTTCAGAAGTATAAATAACCCCACAAATGGGTGACGGTGGCATGTAGGAAAAGGAAAAACCCTTCATACTGTCTTAGAACGTTCTGGCATCACTTCACAGTTTGTGGTTCTTGAAATTAGTTAAGATCAACATCTTCTCTATCGCCAAGGAAGTGTGCCCAGGTCACTGAGTGGCCATCAGGTGCCAGACAGTAAGAGATACAGCTACGGGAGAGACAGACATGGTCCCTACCACCATGGGGCTCGGCTGCCAGGAAGGTGGCGTCATAAAGTACATTCCTGATGAGGTGTTCAACTGCAAGGAGCACCATGGGGGAGACGAGGGTGCTGGGCTCACCTGGTGAGTGCCGGTCAGGGGAGGCTTCTAGGAAGTGATGCTGGAGTGGAACACCTGGAGGAGGGTGGGGGGGAAGAACCAGGTGGGGATGGAGGGAGAGTGGTCCAGAGAAGGAGGAGCATCTGTACCAGCCCTGAGGCCAGAGGGAGCATAGGGAGTGGGAAGAACCGGAGTCCTTGTGGCTGGTGTGCAGGCAGAAGTGGGAAGGAGACTTGACAGCAAAGGATCTTTCCTGCTGGAGTGGCAGGTAATTTTCAGGAAGAGGAGTGGATTAACTCTTGACTCATTCCCCCTCCACCCCTCCCCACCCCCGCCCCACCATGTGTGCTCAGAGTCCTAATGTTGTTGCCCTACTCAGAGCTTCCGCTCGATGGTCACCCTCGGTTGTTTACAGCTTCGCCTTCTCTGTCCTCCTCCCTCTAGGTTATTAGGTTCCTGCATGTTATTTCGGGCCTGATCAACATTTCAAGCTAAACATGGTGGTGATGAGTATCCTCAGGGCCATTCTGCAAGCCTCTCCATGCAGGTCACCATGGAGAAGATTCCAGATCCCCAGCTCCGTGCCGGCGAGGCCCTGCAGCCTCTACACCTGCACGTACAAAACCCGGAACCGAGCCTGTGAGTACCCCGCTGCCTTCGAGAGAGCGAGAGGCTGGTTTCGTAGCAATCACGTGTGCCCTGTTTATCCACGTGCTGTCAGTGGCATTCCAGAGTGGGATTCTGTACCCTAAGAACCGTGAGAACAGCTACTTGTTTCTCTACTTGTCTTCTCAGATAAATGTGGAAAATTCTTTTCCCCCAGGTTCATTGAGATGTAGTTGCCACATAACATTGTATAAGTCGAAGTTGTGCAGCGTGGTGATTTGATACACGTATATTGCAAAACCGTCCTAAGGTTCAGAAAGTCCTTTCCTTGACCGATTCTAACATGTTCAAAGGATGTCGTGCCGAAATAGGACAAGGGAGATGTCCCAGTTTCCGGTACTCTGGAACCTGTTCTGTGCTGTTGTGGTTAGCAGTGGTCTTCTTACTTACGTGGATCCACAGACGGCGAATTCTCCCCGTGAATCTTAACGTTCTGCAAGTTGCGTATTCACGTTTGCCAGCAGGTCAGTGGCTTCGCGCTCTGGAATATTCTTTCCCGAGTCACAAACTGCAGACTTAATTCCAGCCGAGCAGCTTGCCAGCGTGTGCTCTGCTGTCAGTGCGGCATCAAGGGAGGCGGCAGATGGTCTCTCCTGACACCTCCCTCATCCCGTTCTTCTCCTGAGACACCAGCTCCCTGGCGCATCCCTGTGGTGCAGGGATTGTCCACCGAGGCACTACTGACCGGGGGGATGGGCCACTCTGTGACGTTGCACGTGAAGCGTGCACTGTAGGGTGATTAGCTGCATCCCTGCCCTGTATCCACAGTGGTCATCCACAGAGATGACAGTTGCACCCTCACCCAGTTAGAACAACCACAAATGTCAGCAGACATTACTAAATGAGCTCTGTGGGAGACAGAATTGCCCTGGTTAAAAATCAGTGGGACAAGAGGAGAGAATAAGAATGCATGTTTTTGTGGAGAGGTGAGTTTGAATTTGTGGAGAGGTAAAATGCCTAAGTATATTGTGAAAGAGGAATTTTTCATACTTCCTATTATCTTAAAGGAATTGACGCAGGGTTTTCAAATGTTGGTTTCCTCCTAAGTCTGGGTTTCTCTGCTTTTTCTCTCTGGGTTTTCTCTCTTTTGACATCATAAGCACATACTAAAAAAAGAAGGTAAGAAAGGAATGCTTTTATATCAGTAGCACTAATCTAGCTAAATCCAAGGACTTGAAACTTCTTCACAAATGCATTTTTATTATGAATTTACTTTGTTTCCTCTAACATTGACAATGCTCTCATTAAAATGAATTGGTCGGAGTCATAATAAATTTCTGGTTGCTGGGTGTGGCTTCCTACCAGCAGACCCACATCCTACTGGGACTGGCTTATTCTCAACACTGGCATTTTGTGGTCTGAGGCTTCAAATGGAAAAAAAGAGTCATATTTATGTAACTACCAAAGTTTTACTTTTTTTTTTTTTTAACAGAGAGTTGAAAGATAAAGGTCTAGGGGCGCCTGGGTGGCGCAGTCGGTTAAGCGTCCGACTTCAGCCAGGTCACGATCTCGCGCTCCGTGAGTTCAAGCCCCGCATCAGGCTCTGGGCTGATGGCTCAGAACCTGGAGCCTGTTTCCGGTTCTGTGTCTCCCTCTCTCTCGGCCCCTCCCCCGTTCATGCTCTGTCTCTCTCTGTCCCAAAAATAAATAAATAAAAACGTTGAAAAAAAAAATTTAAAAAAAAAAAAAAAAAAGAAAGATAAAGGTCTAAAGTCCAACATACATATGTCTTGCTTCTTTTAGTGCTGACAAACAAAACGCGGTGGCTTGGGGAGGTATGGGCTTTCCTTGATTAATTTTTCACATCAGATGTTCTTGTTTTTAACTTACTAAGAGAAACTGGCGACAGTCATGATTTGGTTTTGCTTTTGGCATATTGCTCTGCCCCTCCTGTTTTCACTGGGGAGAATATTGTAATTTCTGCTGCTCTGAGCCACTGGCAGCTTAATACGACGGCAGAAGGCCTCGTTGTGTACTTGTGTGACCAAGAATGACCCAAGATCGTTGAGGGCTAGAAAAGATAACCTGCAAAGCCCATAGCTAGTGGCTGCCGTACAGTGAAGACTGTGTGGGCAAGTACTCCTACTCCTAGTACTACGATTATCGTCATCACCATCCTTATCGTCATAGGCTCAGTGCCCCCATCAGATGTTTTTGTGACCATTTTTAAGATTGGGTTAAGTGGGCGGTGCCTGGGTGGCTCAGTTGGTTGAGCGTCCGACTTCGGCTCAGGTCATGATCTCACAGTCTGTGAGTTTGAGCCCCGCATCGGGCTCTGTGCTGATGGTTCAGAGCCTGGAGCCTGCTTCCGATTCTGTGTCTCCCTCTCGCTCTGCCCCTTCCCTGCTCGTGCTCTGTCTCTCTCTGTCTCAAAAATAAAATGAAAACATTAAGAAAAAAAAAAAAAAGATTGGGTTAAGCGGAATGAGGAGTAAATGAAGTAGGAGGATATGGCAAATTCAGGAAGCAGCATTTCACTAGGGCCTTGTGCTCTGGGATCCATCTTCAGTCCCCGCTTCTCACCTCCCAGGGAATCATTGGCTGTCGACTCAGATCACTGTTCGCTGTTATCTCAAGTAGCAGACAGTGTTGACAGTCCTAATTGGAGGACTTGTAGTATGATAAAATAAAGCTAAAAGCCTGCCCCTGTTACCCAAGATGAAAATAAAATCAAATTCGCTTAGTATATCTTCTACTGAAATTTATGTTAATTGTCACAAAAAACATTCAGTGTTAGAGTAGATCAGAAAATGAAGCCCAACAGTCAACAATAAAAAAGTCTAATTAAAAACGGATCAAAGACCTTACTTAACAGACACTTCACCAAAGAAGATCTATAGATGGCAAATAAGAATATAAAAAGATGCCCCACTATGTGATCTGTGATCAGGGAAATACAAACTAACACAATAATAAGATATCAGCAAACACCTATTACAGTGGCCAAATTCCAGAACACTGAGCATACCGAGTGGGTATGAGGGTGTGGGGCAACACAAACTCTTACTCATTGCTGGTGAAAATGGTACAGCCACCCTGCAAGATAACTTGGCAGTTTCTTTCAGAACTAAATATATCCTTGCCATACAATTCAGCAATCATGTACCTTGGTATTTACCCAGCATTGTTTTAAACTCATGTCTATACAAAAACCTACACATGGATATTTACAGCACCTTCATTCATAATTGCCAAAACTTGGAAGCAGCCAAGAGGTCCTGCAGTACTTGAATGGATGCCTTATCTATGGTGTATCCAGACAATGGAATTTTATATCCTCACTGAAAAGAAATGAGCTATGAAACCAGGAAGAGAAATGTAGGAACCTTAAATGCATATGACTAAGTGAAAGAAGCCAATCTGAAAAGGCTACAAACTGTGTGATTCCAACTGTATGGCATTCTAGAAAAGGCAAAACTATGCAGGCAGTAAAAAGATCAGTAGTTGCCATGTGTTAGAGTATAGGGAGGGATGGATAGGTGGAGCAGAGGATTTTTTTTAGGGTAGTGAAAATACTGTGTATATTATGATGGATACAGATCAGTATACATTTGTCCAAACCCAAGGAATATATAACATCGAGAGTGAACTACAGTGTAACATATGGGCTTTGGGTGTTATCATGTATCAGTGTAGGTTCATGAATTATAACAAATGTACTACTCTGGTGGGGGTTGGTCATAATGGGGGATGCTGCATGTGTGGGGGCAGGGGTAAATGGGAAATCACTATACCTTAAATTAATGAATAAATAAAGTCCTAAAAAATTAAACATGTGATCTGAGACCAAAACGACATAAATTTAATAATTTTAATTCTTAATTAAATATAAAGAATATCATCTAGAATTGAAATAGTACGTATTTTTATTTGTTATTATTTCATTGATTCTTATTTTTCATGATCTCTATGTTTAGATGGAAGAGAAATATTATTTTAGGACAACATGGACTAGAATGGCACTGTATAGGGGCACCTGAGTGGCTCAGTCAGTTAAGCGTCCAACTTTGGCTCAGGTCGTGATCTCATGGTTTGTGAGTTCAAGCCCCACATCAGGCTCTCTGCTGTCAGCACAGAGCCCACTTTCTCTGTGCCCCACTCTCTGCCCTGTATAAAATCTAGCCACTAACCCCATGTGTGTATTTTCATGTAAATATAAATGTATTAAAATGTTATGGCCACATGTTGCTAGCACTTACCACAATGGAAATTTCCATCATCAGAGAAAGTTCTATTGGACAGGACTGGTCTGTATTATAGTTGAACTGTGTTAGAAAGTTGTTCTGTTATTTCTCCAGTTAATTTTGAAGGATAAAAATCCTAGAGGACAATAGTAGTAAAAAGTTTGTTTTGCAATGTGTTCACAAAGAACTCTCATAATCCCTAAATAATACAGATTCAGGATGCCCCACATAGAGTTTTTCATTAACATTCAAATAACCTTGAGAAACAATAGGCTGATTAAGAGCCCCTTGGAATTGTATTAATAGCTTCAGTGGTATCAGCAGCAACAAGGAGCTAACAAACAGCCCTGAACTGACCCCCAGGAACTGTGGCCTTTAGTCTTCTGTGTTGTTGACTGCATGTGTATGCTGCTGTTACCTGGGCTCAACATCAAAGTGCCTTTTACAGCCCTCATGCTCTGAGAAGACAATTTATGATTCTGTGATCATCCCTAACAATATCACAAGGGAGGGGGCTGTCCCTGTGTATCCTATCACTGTGCTAAGCCCTTGGGCCTACTAGGATGGTCTTCAATCACATGAGAAAATTGTACAGCTCAAGAAAAAGGATGGTAAGAGGGCAAGGCGAATGAGAAAAAAACAATGAGGGCCTAGAATAACAATGTCCAGTAGATGAATAATGTGAACCACCAATATGAGAGCCATATAGGCAGTTCTGTATTTTCTAATAACTACATCTTTAAAAAGAACAAATAATGTCAATTACATCTCAATAAAACGGGAAAATTAATTCTAAAATAGCAAAAACATAGGCAAAATATAGTATATAAAGGGGCACCTGGGTGGCTCAGTTGGTTAAGTGTCTGACTCTTGATTTCAGCTCAAGTCATGATCTCGCTTTCTTGAGATTGAGCCCCGCATTGGGATTCTCTCTTTCCCTTTCTCTCTACCCCTCCCCAACTTGTACTCTTTCTCCCTCTCTCTCTCTCAAAACAAATAAACAAATAAACTTAAAAAAAAATGTATATATATGTATAGTATATAGTTAAAAATATTTTTGCCAATATATTTGTTGGGGAGGAAGAATATTTAACCTAGCATATCCAAAATATTCTCATTTTAACATGAGATGAGTATAAAAATTCTAAACGAAATATTTTACATTGCTTTGTGCTAAGTCTTTAAGGTCCCTCGCTGTTTTACATTTATAGCACATCTCAATTTGAACAGTCACGCAAGGTGAGTGGTTACCTTATTATGCAGTGCAGGTACAGAGAATA